GTGAGTATTTATATATAAAAGCAATCAGTTGAAATGTAAACATATGTTTAATATGTGTATGCTCATGAAAGGCGTTCTCGGAAAAAAAATATTTAATGAATTGTTAAGACCTATATAAAGCGAGGTAAACCAATCCGTTTGTGCATCAAACCATAAGATACTTTAATGAGTATTAAGAAAACCCAAAACAATTGAAAGTCAACTCTTTTTATTGAGCTTGCTAATTCTGCCTTTTTAAAGACAAAATGTGAACAAAATATTTTAAAGGTACAACAGTAAAGTCGCTGCATAATACTTCAATCGACCCGATTTACTTTTTGAAGTTAAATCGTAAGAAGATAAATAATTGGCAAAATATCTGCTTTTTATCTTGATTTTAAGTCCGAATGAATAGTTGTCACACATTTACCGACACAGTTGTGGTTTCCAGTTATATGCCCACAGTAGGCGATTTAGCGAGGGTAATTTGTAGTCATTATCAAGCATATTTTTTGCTCATTTTAGAATTTCCGAAGGCTTGTGATTTCTTTATGTTGTTTGGTATTGTTGTTTATCCGTTTTTGTTGAATTTATCCGGGAAAATGAATATCATTGTAGGGTTCGTTTGGTTTTCATGGTTATTAGATTTGTTTTGTATTCAAGTAAATGGACAATTTCACTGTCTCGTTAAAACTGGCTTCGCCCGATGCCAAGAACAGGCGAAGTTTGTGTTGACAAATGCATTATCTGCGAATCTGTTGTTGATAAAATTTCAATTATATTAACAGAATCTGGAAGAAAAAGTCTGATGAATGCTGCAGCAAAGAGACATGCTGATTTGTTCATTTATTTGAATAAATTTTGTAATGATAGAGTAACTGAATCAACCGTATTTATGTATCATAGGTCGTGTTAATAAAGCTACACATTTAAGTAGAATTTGAAATCATTAGCACGTTCTTTGGCTGAAAAGGAAGCACCAGATATGAAGCCCAATTTATCTAAAATCTAAAAAATAAGTTCATAATTTACTCGTTTTCAATATAGCATTATGTAAAAGGTTATCTGTCCAAAATTTTATATACACTTTAATTAAAACAGCTTCAATCTCATTAATATTGAAATCATTAGTATCTACATTCATCTGTTTTGCAAAAAAAAACCAGAAGAATAATTTGCTTGTATACAATTCCAGTGCATATAAACGCTATATGTAACAGTTTCACTTAACAATTATTAACTGTGTAAATAGAGAGTTTCACTGTATCCTTATATGACACATAAGACCTAAGTAGCAGTATAGACAAGATTATAAAGATAAGACCTTCTTAAAGAAGAAGAACAAGCTGATTAATGTCCGTCCACACTGATGTCGACCTAGGTGTTTTAAATTGTGTTTAAATAGTGTTTAACCCCGCCGCATTTTTGCGCCTGTCCCAAGTCAGGAGCCTCTAGCCTTTGTTAGTCTTGTATTATTTTTAATTTTAGTTTCTTGTGTACAAATTTGGAGTTTAGTATGGCGTTCATTATCACTGAACTAGTATATATTTTTGTTTAGGGGCCAGCTGAAGGACGCCTCCGGGTGCGGGAATTTCTCGCTGCATTGAAGACCTGTTGGTGACCTTCTGCTGTTGTCTGTTCTATGGTCGGGTTGTTGTCTCTTTGACACATTCCCCATTTCCATTCTCAATTTTATTTCTTAAATAAAAGAGTTTTACAAAAATACGGAACTCAAGATAACTTGAAAGTCAATAAAAACTGAAACAATCAAACTGTGTCTATATCGAGAGAGAAAAAAACAACAATATATCAGAAAACTGTCTGAGAATCAAATGTTTTGAAATTTTAGAGCTGACCTTTAGCATAAACCATTAAAGGCATGTTATAATGTTTATTCTTTATACAAACAAAAAAGTCAGTATATATGCAATAAAGATCAGGTGCTTAGTTTTTCTCTACGTAAATATAATTATAGTGTTTAAGTGACAAATGAGACAAAACTGTACATTGCAGATTGATATTTTTCAGCTATCGTAAAAATAATTAAATTACCAAGCTTGATGCGGATTTATTCAAGGGTTTGACGTCTTGAACATTTGAAAATTTATATATTCTATAATACATCTTATTATCACCTTTTTTAAATTTGTTAATGTAAAATTAAATCTTGTAAAGGTATTCATTATTTTGTATTACTTAATTTTGTAAACAAAATCTTGCAATTTTGATGTTAATATATACATTTCGTATTACTATCATTTCAACATACAATTAAGGTGTTCAAAATATAAGAATTACAAAAATAAAGTTGTTTATAATCTTGTCAATAAAATGATAAAATTGATAAACACTTTTTCAATTTTGTAAAAAGAGACATTTTACTGTATCCTTATAGGAAACATAAATCAATAGAAGGAAATTGGTTCTTATTTCATTGAGACAAAGTTTCTCTTACGAAATTGAAGTTTTGACTATTTAAATGGGAATATCTGCATTATATTTTTTTTGTATTGGAATTAACTGGTTCAAAAGGTAATAGGATTAATGTATCGATCAATAGTGAAATGTTCTACAATGTTTTCTTACTTACAAAGTGTGTTTAATATATTTTTGAAAAACGACGACAGGCCATTTGTACCCAACACAATCATTCGGTTTAAAACAACATACAGCATTATTTTTTTTTAATTTATTTTTTTCTTCATGAATTTACAAGGTATCAACATATATTTATCTTGTGGTACAATAATCAAGCAAGTGAAATAAATAAGCATGATAAGCATTCTATGGACTAACACTATGAAATCTATGGATGAAGTATAGTAATACCATTTTCATTAATATAGTAATAATAGTAATAGTAGTGCAAGAAATATATGAGCATGCATATGGTATAACAGTATACAAGTACTTTCAAATACTCATGTACACATATGTATATACATTAACCTTGTTCTTCCATACAGAAATATTTTGAGGAAATATGTTTCTCTAAAATCAAGTTTTCTTTTATGTAATTTTGAAGACCTTTAATATGAGGTTTTATATCTTGCATCTTACATCTGTAAATGAAATACTTTGTCAGTAAGATAACTTTATTTTTAATAAAATTCAATTTATTTTCATAGAGGCCAAAAATGACAATATTCAAATTTAGTGGAATTTCTATATGAACTATATCGAAAATCCAAGAATTTAGATTGTGCCAAATGTCGGCTACAATATGACAACCCCAAAGTAAATGTTCTATAGTTTCAGGCTCTTCCTTGCAAAAGGTACACAAATTACAGTTAACAAGTTTCATTTTAAAGAGTAGAGCATTAGTCCCTAAGATATAATGAATAATTCTATATTGAAACCAACATAACCTAGTGTTTTTTGAAACCTTGGTAACACACAAGTGTATTTTTTTTCCAATTTTCTACAACTTACCTTCCCATTTTTTTTCTGCTACAAAATCTATAGGTAAAGTTCCTTGATTTAAAATAGTATACATGTCCTTTGAGCCCTTTTCGGACTTAAGGAAAATATTAATGTTTAAAGGTAAAATAGCCTGATGTTTTTTCTCTCCTTTGGTGTTGATTCCAATGGCTTGTAGCTATTTTTTTAGTGCTAATATAAGCCCATAAAACTGTAGAAAAATGGTTTTGAAACTATACATAATTTCAAAATTTTCATATGTTAATATATTTCCATGTTCATCTAACAGGTCATTTACAGTCCATACCCCATGATGTGACCAATTTTTATAGTAAATGCTGACGTTATCAATTTTAATATGTTCATTATGCCATATAGATGTCGAAATGACTTCCTCAAAATGAAATGGATGTCTGAGTTTTGACATAATTTTCCAGGCATGAAAAACTTAATCCCAAAATTTGTTTTTTGATTTTTTAATAATTCCAAAATAAGCCAACTTTGTAAAATTTATATTTTGGGTGGAGGTAAATATTTGGATCCATTTGGATTTTGACTTAAATAATCTTCTAACCCAAGTAAGTTTTAACCCTTGTATAAAATGTCTCAAATTAATCATTTTTAGGCCCCCTCTAAAGTATTCTTGGCATAGAAGGTCCCGCTTTATCTTGTCAGGCTTATCATCCCAAATGAATGAATAAATTTTACTATTAAGTTGACTTATCATATCATCATCTGGACCTGGGATGGACAGGAACAGATGATTTAATTTTGATATAATTAGTGACTTTATAATTGTTATTTTACCAAACGGGGTAAGTGACTGTTTTGACCATTTTTGTAATATTTTTTCTATTTCTTGTATTCGAGGAGCATAGTTTAGATTTAACATTCTATCTAAATCAACACAGAAAGTGATACCTAATAATTTGAAGGTACTGAAACCCCATTTCAGTCCCCACTTTACACATATTTTGTCTTGACTATGTCTTTTACTACCTATCCATATAACGTTTGTTTTGTCTAAATTAATTTTCAGTCCTGATATCTCAGCATAGAATTGTAATATACGGAGAGATGCACCCAGTGAGGAAGGCGACCCATCTAAAATAAGTGATGTGTCGTCTGCATATTGAGACAAGATATACTCTGAATCATCTATCGTAATACCCTTTATCTCATCACTACTTCTTACTAAAATGCCTAATATTTCAGCACATAGCAAGAAAAGGTAAGGAGACAAAGGATCCCCCTGTCTACAGCCTCTCTCCACACGGAAAAAGTCTGACAGACAGCAGTTCTGGGTGACAGTAGATGTAATATCATTATAAAATGTTTTTATCCAGTTCATAATAGAGTCTCCAAAATACTTCAGTGTTTCAAAGAGAAAGGTCCATGATATAGAGTCAGAGGCCTTCTCAAAACCAATGAGTAATAATATACCAGGGATATCATTTTCTTCTGTAAAGTGTAAAATATCATATATAAGTCTACAGTTCTCCCCAATAAATCTACCCGGGATAAAGCCTGTTTGATCTGTGTCAATAATTCTGTTTAGAACTGACTTTATCCTCTCAGCTATACAACTAGACGCTAGTTTG